CTTCACAGAGTTAAAAAGAGAAATTCTCAAATTCATTTGGAATAACAAAAAACCCAGGATAGCAAAAACACTTATGTACACCTGATGATTGATAAAGAAGCCAAAAATGCATACTGGAAAAAAGATTATCTTCAACAAATGGTGCTAAACAAATTGCATGGCTGTATGTAGAACAATCCAAAAAAATTCAAATTTATTATCTGTCACAAAAATGAAAACTCGAAATAGATCAAAGACCTCAACAGAAAACCATACACTGAACGTGACAGAAGAGAAAGTAAAGAATAGCCTTGAACTCATTATCACAGGAAAAGACTTTCTAAACACAGATACTAAAATCAGCAATTATGGGACCTCATGAAACTGAGAAGCTTGTATATGGCAAAGGACCAAAGGACACCGTCATTTGTACAAAGTGGCCACTTACAAAATGGGAAAAGATTCTTACCAACTACCCATCTTTTTTTTTTTTTGGTTTTTTCGAGACAGGGCTTCTCTGTGTAGTCCTGGCTGTCCTGGAGCTCACTCTGTAGACCAGGCTGCCAGGCTGGCCTCGAACTTAGAAATCCACCTGCCTCTGCCTCCCAAGTGCTGGGATTAAAGGCATGCGCCACCACTGCCCGGCTCCAGCTACCCATCCTATAGAGGGTTAATATCCAAAATATTTAAAGAACTCAAAAAAACTAGATTTAAAAAAAAAACCCAACTAACTCAATTAAAAATGTGATACTCATCTACACAGAAAATTCTCAAAAGAAGAAACTCAAGTGGCTGAGAAATTCATAAAAGCATATTTTAATGGCCTTAGTAATTAGGGAAATGCAAATCAAAATACTTTGAGCATTTATCTTATACCTATCAAAATGGCTAAGATCATCCTGAGTAAGATAACCCAAACGCAGAAAGACACATATGATATGTATTCATTTATGTGAATAATAGCTGTTAAATCAATGATAATCAAATCACAATCTATAGAACTTCTGAGATGAGGGTGGCATTGACAGACATCCCTAGGAAAGGTAAATACAATAGTTTTTCAGGGATTGGAAAGATGGAGGTATTGGAACAGAAAGATCGGGTGGAGAAGAAGAGGGAAGAGTGAAACAAGAGGAAAACAGGAAGAGACAGCTAAAACTCAGGGCCATTTGAATAGTATAGAAACCTAATATAGAAGCTTCCTAAAATATACACGTACATCATGAAATGAAACCCCTAGATAATAGAAGAGACAGAGTCCCAACTGGCCATATCTTGTCACCAAATGAAGCTTCCAGTAGCAGGATTGGGTTATATTTAATTAAGTTGTAGGCCTAAGGGGCCCCATAGGAACCCACAAATGACCCAGGCTTTTGCTTTCCATAAACTGATGGCAAGGCCCCATACCTTAAGACACTATCTGCATAACTCACTAAACATGAAATGCTGAGCTGGTGCCTATAGAGAGCCTTTGCCACATGTGATAACATATTTTGATAAAGGAAGGTACTCTGTATGCTACTTACTTAGGGTAAAAACAAATACTACTGGTCTTAAAAAAAAAAACAATTAAGATAACTCCTAATGACATTGTGCTATACCTGCAGATCAATATCTTACTCAGCCATCCTCATAGAAGCTTCTCCCTGCAGATGAGGACACAGATGAGACCCACAGCCAAATGTTATGCAGAGAAAGAAACCTTGGAACACTCAACCCTAAATGGGATGTCTCTATCAAATCCTTCCCCTTAAGGCTCATGGAATCCCATGGAAGGAGAGTTTAAGAGGCAGAAGAGATAGAGGACATGAAGAAGACAAGGTCTCTAAATCAACATGAATGACCCACATGTGAACTCACAAGAGTCTGAGGCAGCATGCACAGGGCCTGCACATGTCTGTATAAAATGGGGTCCTAAAGCAGACAGAAGTGGACACATGCCCCATCCCTAGCTCAGAAGCTATCTCCAATTGAAAACCACTTGCAAATGAAATTTTATTTTCCTCTAAGTGAGTGTCATGAGAGAAACAAGCTTCTCTTAAGGGTAGACCACATACCCAGCAGTAGAACAAACTCCAACAGAAAACAAACTCAATAGCATCTTTGGAGGTTCCTTGTCTTATAATGTGTCAGAGCTTTTGCATGTATGTATGTATGTATGTATGTATGTATGTATGTATGTATGTATGTATAAATGTTCTTAATCCTATCCTATTATTTTTATTTTATTTTTTTCTTCTCTTTTTCCTTACCTTTGTATATATATTATGGCTTCCAGTTTAGTGTTTTTATGGGATACTTAGGCATGCAAACCAGTGGTTGGTTCTCTGTTTCTTGTGTCTTCTCTTAGACTCTCTTCCTTATGTTATCTTGATTTGTCCAATTCTGATGTGTTAACCTTACTTTATTTTATTATGTTTTAATTTATTTTGTTATTATCCCTTAGAAGCCTTTTTGTTTCTAATGAGAGATAGAAAGGGGATGGGTCTGAATGGAAGGGAATAGGAAGAGGAACTAGGAGGAATAAAGGGAGGAGAAACTGTAGTCAGGATATAATATGGGAGGAAAAAAATCTATTTTCAATCAAAGGGGGAGAAAAGTACAAAAAAAAATATTGACACTGACACAAACATAAAAAACTTCATAAAAACACAAAAGCAGAAACCATAATATATAAGCAAAAGATACATGTGTATGATTTTTAAAAAGTTCAAACAAAGCAAGATGAGATAAAAAGTCTACAAAAATACCACTGAGCTCGTTTTGTGTGGGCCATCTACTACTGAGCATAGGACCTACCCTTAGGTGCCCAGTGAGAAAACTCATTTTTCCTTTGAAAGCAGACGTCAATTGGAGATGGTATTACAACATTTAATAACTTACCCATTTTTGCAATCACTAACTCAATGATATATTTCTATCACTCTTATGCACTTTGTAAATAATCTCTTTTCCCATCCTTGTCCCCAAGTGACACCTTACCTTTCTGTTTCTCTAGATTTCATTATTTTTATATAGTAAGTAGTGCAATCTGGTCATTTGTGTCTTATATTTTTTTAAACTTTGGACAATGTAAATTCAATTTGTTCATATATACACACATAATAAATATAATTTTTATTTCTGAGAATTAGTCCACTGTAGGGTTGTATTACATTTTACATATTATCTAGTTGGATTGGTATATTTGTTAATAGTTTTTACACACACACACACACACACACACACACACACACACACACACACTTTTCATTCCTTTTGGGTAGATACATGTTGGGAGCCGACTTCTAGCAGAAAGCAGCTATCATCTTTGCAGCCATCTCGAGCCATATACCCTGACAAGGTACCCTGCCTTGTCTCCATTCTTCATGTCTCTTGCCACTCTCTCTTTCTTGCTAGACCCTGACCCACAGACCGGAGCAGAAGCTCGGGCCGTTACATAGTGGCCCCTAAATGTGGGGCAGAATGGGCCATTACAGATACACAGAAACAAAACTGCTAAACCATATGGTAGAACAATTTACATTTATCTTTTTAAGAAACTGAAAACTGTTTCCAAGTGGCCGTCCGTCTGTACCATTCTCTAATCTGCACGTTAATCTGGAAGGGCCATTATTTCTGTCCATATTTACCCACACTAATTGTTTTGTTTTTTTATTTTTGTAGTCATTCTGGAGGATTTTGAAAGCAAAATAAATGTTTTTTAGCATCTTGTTTATACATATATTTTTTCATTGAATTATAAATCACTTCTTTATAGGAGGTGGGGCAGTGGCTTAGCTATTGAGAGCACTTACTGCTCTTGCAGAAGACCCCTGTCTGGTTCCCAGAACCCATATGGTAGCTCATAACCTTCTGTGACTCTAATTCCTGAGAGATCTGCCGCCTTCTTCTGGCCTGTGCAGATAATATATGCAGGTGGCACACCATACATAAAGTTTTAAAAATTCCTCAAATAGTTCTTTTTAGATTCTTACTGTTAATTGCCCTGTTAAATATATACTGCAAAATCTGGTACTTGGCCTAATAATCTTTTTCTTGCCTCCCTTTCTGAGGGCTCCACAAGTGCTCTACACTGACCTATATCACTGGCCCCTTTAAAATACATTTTCAAAGTTTCAGATAGGGTCTCACTAAGTTTCCCAGGCTGCTATTAAATTTGCAATCGTTCTGCTTCAGCTTCATAAATAGTTAGAATTACAGACCTGTGCTAACCAGGATTGGCTTGACTTACTCATTTTCTTAGTGGTATCTTTTAATGAACATTTAAAATTTTTAAATTAAGTACAGAACATCAATTTTCCTTCTCATTCCACTTTTTACAGCTTGTATAAAAACTACCTGATCCCACATCATCAGTACATTCTCTCATTTGATTTATCTGAAATTAATTTTTGTTTAGAAAATGAAGTACAGATAAGGTTTGCCTTCCCAGGATGCTCTTTTCTATTTATGTATTTTGTAGTACTAGTGACAAACCTGAGCCTTATGTTCCTAATGTCAACTTTTTCCAGCACATGTGTCAAAGATGTTGTCTTTGCCTCAGTGAATTGATTCATGGCAAATTAATGGTAAATCAAGTGACCAGATATGCATCAAGCTATTTCTGGACCCTCTTTTTTGTTACCTTGATCTGTGTGTCCTTCTATAAGCCCTATACTGTCTTAATTTCTGTAGCTTTAGAGTAAGTCTTCAAACTTGGTGACCTATGCTCTGCATCAGACATAATGAAGTTGTGTCTAATTTATTGAATATTTAGAATTTTTAAAGTTTAACTTTAAGATATACATTTAAAAGCAACAGAGGTATTTTTCTCTTTTTAGGGGTGGTTTAAAAAAATCCTATAAAATTATATATAATGACATAATTACTACCATCAGCTAATTATGATTACAATCCACTGCTGGTATGTTTATGAATATTATTATTTGCTGAGGATTTTGGAAAACTAATTATCTAGGCAAGAAGAGTGAGAAAGGATTAAGAGACAAGCCTAATATGAAAGGTTTCTGAATCTCTACCTCCATCTTCACAGTCTTCAGGGGCTTTGGCTTTCTTGCAGAGACGAGGATCCAACCAGGTGGTTGTCTTTGTATTATGACTGTAGTAAGATAAAGATCTCAGTTAGAAATAGTAAAATAAAGAGGGAGAAAAGCATTTCAAAAGCAAAGATTCAAAATAACTAAAAAGCATATGACATTAGAAAATTTATCTCCTACAGGCCCCATTTGTATACTATAGACTCAATAATCCTAGTGATCACAAGCAATGGATAGGAAATTGGCATAAAGGAAGGGTAATTCTAGAGGCATAAGTTTGAGAATGAAGAGTTTAAAGAAGAGATCAAAAGCCAAGTACAGAATGAAAAGCTTACTTAAGCAGTCAAAACATTTCAAAGGGTGGGCACATAGCCACATACTGTGTACTGCTAGCTGGCAAAGCCAGACTAAAAGTCATGTTTGCCTGCTTTTCTTAAGAAGTATTGCAATTCTCCTTCCCCTCCTCCTCCTCCTCCTCCTCCTCCTCCTCCTCCTCCTCCTCCTCTTCCTCCTCTTCCTCTTCTCCCTCTTCCTCCTCCTTCTCCTTCTCTTTGAGTAACTTGCATTTGTATGTACAGTGTTTGTTAGGGGTTGAAAATGAAGAGGCAAATATCAAACAAAGCTTCTGTTCTCACAGAGATTCTTTAAAATAAGATAAAACTTAAAATTTTTAAGGTGGTTGTTTCTGCAATATACCAGTAAAAATTATGGCTCTGGTTAAACACCATTCTATAAAACTGTATTTTCATCGACACAGATCACATGAAAGAAACAAACAAAAAAGGTGGAGCAGAGCAGAGACCATGCCATTGCTCCTTTCTATGAAGTAGGCCAAAAGCTGCTGTCAAAGAACAATGTGCTTGATTTCATTATAGGCTACAGTTAGTCAGCTTCAGGCCAAGTTACCATGCAAGACAGGAATGCTAAAACTATTAAACTGCAGAGAAAATTAGTGTTAAAAGTCCCTGAAGCAGAGCTGAGGATTATATCTAAGACTGTCCTCTGTTCTCCACTTGCACAGCACATATACTGTGCATCTGTACCTACACACATATACTTGTGCTACATGTATATACACACACATAATAAAAAAAGTCTCTGAAATAGGCATATTAGAAAAGAAAAAAATTATAGAGAAAATAGAGGAAGGCAACATAATGTCAAGTATTATTGAAGTTCTATGAACATAGTGATATGAAGTTCTCTTTTCTTGTTCACTTTTTCAAAAAGAAAAAAATGGTTAAAAAGCAGGACCATCGCATGTCCTCTCTAACTGTCTCTAGCCCTGTGACTACTTTCAGATATGATGCTTGCTGGCAGACCATGGCAGAGACACTTTTTGTGTGTAATACTAAATAATTTGTATAGGTAAACATGAGAATATTTTAGAAAGTCTGTGTTATATATTCTTACACAGAGAGAATATCCCTAAAATAAAACCAGTGCAATCAAATTTAGTAAAATGGAAGAGATCCTAACTCCTAGTCAGGGAAAAAAAACAAAACTGTGGAAAAACCTTCCTAAATCAAATTCAATTTCTACTTGAGAAAAGCCTGATTTTGAGTATACCAATGCAAATGTGATTGCTAAATTAGCAAAAATAGGTCATCTGCTAATCTTACCCAATATTCCCTGGGGTATAAAAACTTTTGTTTCCTATCAGAAAGCCTTTGTTAAATATAGTTTCTCCCTGTATTTTCATTTAGTAGTTTAGTTTCAATTCTTGTTGAAAAATGCATTTATTTTATGTGTATGAGTATGTATCTATATAAGTCTACATTCACCACTAATGTTTATGAGAATATACTATATGTAGTAAAAGATCTTGCCCTCAAAATCTGTCTTTTAAGCAACAGACACTGACTTGGTAAAACAAAATGCTCATTCATGAGACTGTCTAAAGAAGCAGGCTGAAGTCCTGAGCCTTAATTAATGACAAAAGGGTTGAGAGGGAGGGAAGGAAGACGAGAGACACAAAGATACAGAGATAGAGACAGACAGAGAAAGAGAAAATCTGAGTGTAGTACCCAGACCTCAGTATTTTCAGTTACTTAATTATTACCTTCTGTAACTTTACTATATTAATACTCTACTCCTGTACAAATTGCTTTAAAGATTAGACTTAGAGATACATAGGAATATAAAAAAATTTTATATTGAACTTTGAATAAATTATTTGCATAACATTCTCTAGAGCAAATAACATTCAATTTTAGGCTGATCTAATTAGGTGGTATTCAGTACCTCTATGAATATTCTATTAATACTTTTCCATAAAAAACCTACTATTTTTAGGCTTCTATTGTACCAACTACTTTAAGGATCAGTGGTATTTTGTACTGTATTTCCTAAATATATTATCTCAATACACCAACTCCAAACTTTAGGACTAAAAACACTTAACTTAGATAATGATATGCTTTTCTCCATGATGATCATTTTGTTTGTAGGTTGGTTTGAGACAGAGTTTCATGATGTAACCTGGAACTTGCCATGTAGAAAAGACTAGCCTTGAACTGGGAGAAATCCTTCTGTCTCTGCCTTCCAAGTACTGGAATTAAAGGTGTGCACCACCACACCTAGTTCTTAAATTTATTTTTAAAAAAGCGTATTAAATTGGGAAATCTACCTAGAAGGTTTTTTTCTTTCTTTTTTCTTTGAGCGAAGCAAAACATCCTTTATTTCTTTCATTCTCCATTGACTATTTCCAAACCAGAGACCAGGAATGGGGACACAGATCAGTTGATAAAATACAGACATCAGCTAGAGTCCCAGAAGTTACATGAAAGAGCTAGGTATGGTGGAGTGACACTGTCTTTTTAGCACTGTGGAGGTGAAACAGAAACTCACTGGTGAGCCAGAAAAGACTCTCTATGGTGATCTCCAGCCCCATGAGAGACCCTGTATTACAAACAAAGTGGACATCTAAGGCTGACCTCTGGCTTCAACACACACACACCCCAGAGGCCAAATAAACTGTATTATTAGCAGAGGAGGGGAGATGTCATTCAAGGAAATAACTAGATGAAGAATCAACCCAATTGGAAAATATCTTAAAATAAAAACAAGTGAAAGCTTAGAGATATTGGCACAAGGAATCAAACTATATTTTCCTTCCCGTCCCTCCCCTTCCCCTTCCCTCCCCCTCTCCCTCTTCTTCCCTCCCCCTCTCCCTCTTCCTTCCTCCCCCTACCCCTCCTCTTCCCCTCCCCTCCCTTCCCCTCTCCTTCCCTCCCCTCCCCTTTTCTTTTATGTTTCAGTTTATTCTCCTAGTGACTGGACATGCTGGAAAAAATACAGACATTTGCTTACTCAATGAAGTAGATCATTCCTGTATCAGTGTAGGCCATTTCCCAGTTTTTGGGCAGCGGTTCTAGATTCTCATCTCTCATCATATAATTTCTGAAGTCCATGGAGCTATTTGTTTGGTTATAACTTGGAACAGTCTTCATCCAGCAGTCAGATGACTCAGAATGCATCTCTCGAGTTTCTGTCATTGTTGGAAACAGAACAGCATAAAGGGTAAATAAAGTTTGCTTGTTTTCTTGAACAAAATGCCAAGTGCATACATCAATGCATATATAACATTATAATTAAATACTGTAAATTTTCTTGTCTATTATATATATGCTTCTTTATTAACTTTGAAATACATAGAAATACTCAGGTTTTCTTCATTTTCTAATTAAAGTGAATTCTACTTATCTGATGCTAGTCTGGGAAGGCAGAAAAAAAACCAACCAAACAACACCACTAGAATCATTTCAGGAAGAATCTTAATAGCAGCACAGTACTTACACAGATCTTTTATGTGCCAAGCTCTCTTTTAAATGCTTAACATATATTAACTTATAATCCTCATAGCAACTCTATTATTATTATCATCACTATTTTATAGATTGAGGAAAGCAAGCCACAAAGAGGTAAGTTAGTCAGGTCAGATAGCAATTAAACAGCAAACCCAGGATTTGAATCTAAGCAGCCTATGCTTTTGACTGCTATACTAAGGAGCTTTATACATCTTTAACACAGGTAGTAAAATAATTTCTTTTTAAATGTTAAATATAATTCTGGTAATACTAAAATCTTTTTGGAGTCCCAAAGTAGGTAGGCAAACTAAAACTTGGTTATTGTATAGGGAGTCTACAAGTAATGCAGCAATACACTTAAAACACATTCCTAGAACTTAAAAATGTTACATTCTATTATTCTCACAATTTCTATATGCAATATCTCTGAACTAAAGAATCTAAGGGGGGGACAGTAGATGGGTGTGGAGGAAGTGTGTTGGGTGGAGCGGGGGTTAGAAAAGTGACGTGAGAGCTGGGACTGTTCTTTAGTGAGCCTAGGGCTCACTGATCACCCAGACCTGCTCACCTGTGGAGCACAACAAAGAGACCTGGAAGGTGGAGAGGGAGGAGACAGTAGCTAAGGACCCAGCTGGTGTTGTATGTTTGTGTGAATTCCTTAACATAAAAATACAGTCTATCCTTCGGCCCCTGCCTGGTCCCTTGGACTGGAGCAAACACAGAGTCGGTCTGCTCCTGTCCTGTGGAGAAACTGAATCCTGAGTCATCCAGGAGCCACTGCACTCAGAGCAGCTGGTAAGAACTCCATCTCACTCCCTAAGCCCCAGAAAAACATCTGGGAGCCAGGGACATCCAGGGCACAGCAGCTACCCAAACCCCGCCCCTCCGGAATTCCACTTCCCTTCGGCCCCTGCCTGGTCCCTTGGACTGGAGCAGACACAGAGTCGGTCTGCTTCTGTCCTGTGGAGAAACTGAATCCTGAGTCATCCAGGAGCCACTGCACTCAGAGCAGCTGGTAAGAACTCCATCTCACTCCCTAGGCCCCAGAAATACATCTGGGAGCCAGGGACATCTAGGGCACAGCAGCTACCCAAACCCTGCCCCTCCGGAATTCCACTTCCCTTCGCCCCCTGCCTGGTCCCTGGGACTGGAGCAGACACAGAGTAGGTCTGCTCCTGTCCTGTGGAGAAACTGAATCCTGAGTCATCGAGAAGTCACTACACTCAGAGCAGCTGAAACTGAATTCTGAGTCATCAGGGACCCACTGCAATCAGAGCAACTGGAGCCACTGCACTCAGAGCAGCTGACACAGAGTTGGTCTGCTCCTGTCCTGTGGAGAAACTGAATCCTGAGTCATCTAGGAGCCACTGCACTCAGAGCAGCTGAAACTGAATCCTGAGTCATCGAGAACCCACTGCACTCAGAGCAGCCGAGGAGCCACTGCACTCAGAACAGAAGGATTACCAGATCCAAGAGGTGGCCTGAGTCCCAGGAGTTCTTCCACCCGGGAGATTAGGGGCATAAGACCACAGAGACCTCTGGACTCCGAGGAGCTCTGCAATAAGCAAGATAACTGGAAATACAGATTCCAATCTTACACAGAGAGGGCAGGTACCACTAGAGTTACCCAGATGGCGAAAGGCAAGCGCAAGAACATAAGCAACAGAAACCAAAGTTTCTTGGCATCATCAGTGCCCAGTTCTCCCAATATAGCAAGCCCTGAACACCCCTTCACACCTGAAAAGCAGGATTCAGAATTAAAATCACTTCTCATGATGATGATAGAGGATTATAAGAAGGAATTAAGTAACTCCCTTAAAGAAATACAGGAGAGTACAAGTAAACAGATAGAAGCCCTTAAAGAGGAATCACAGAAATCCCTTAAAGAAATGCAAGAAAACACAAAGAAGGAATTAAACAAAAACATTCAGGATCTGAAACTGGAAATAGAAACAATAAAGAAAGTTCAAAGGGAGACAACCATGGAGATAGAAAACCTAAGAAAGAGATCAGGAGTCACAGATGCAAGCATCACCAACCAAATACAAGAGATAGAAGAGAGAATCTCAAATGCAGAAGATACGGTGGAAAATATTGACACAGTTGTCAAAGAAAATGAAAAAAGCAAAAAACTCCTAACTCAAAACATCCAGGAAATTCAGGACACAATGAGAAGACCAAACCTAAGGATAATAGGTATAGATGAGAATGAAGATTCCCAACTTAAAGGGCCAGTAAATATCTTCAACAAAATCATTGAGGAAAATTTCCCTAACCTAAAGAACAAGATGCCCATAAACATACAAGAAGCCTACAGAACACCAAATAGACTAGACCAGAAAAGAAATACCTCCCGTCACATAATAATCAAAACATCAGATGCACAAAACAAAGAAAAAATACTAAAAGCAGTAAGGGAAAAAGGTCAAGTAACATATAAAGGCAGACCTATAAGAATTACACCAGACTTCTCACCAGAGACTATAAAAGCCAGAAGAGCCTGGACGGACATCATACAGACCCTAAGAGAACACAATTGCCAGCCTAGATTACTATACCCAGCAAAACTCTCAATCAATATAGATGGTGAAACCAAGATATTCCATGACAAAACCAAATTTGCACAATATCTTCCCACAAACCCAGCACTTCAAAGGATAATGGATGGAAAACGCCAACACAAGGAGGGAAACTACAACCTAGAAAAAGCAAGGAAGTAATCTTCCAACAACCCCAAAAGAAGATAACTATACAAACATAACTTTACCTCTAATAACAAAAATAACAGGAAGCCACAATCATTTTTCCTTAATATCTCTTAACATCAATGGTCTCAATTCCCCAATAAAAAGACGCAGACTAGCAGACTGGATACACAAACAAGACCCAGAATTTTGCTGCATACAAGAAACACACCTCAGTGACAAAGACAGACACTACCTCAGAATAAAAGGGTGGAAAACAATTTTCCAAGCCAATGGTCCCAAGAAACAAGCTGGAGTAGCCATTCTACTATCAAATAAAATCGACTTCCATCCAAAATTAATCAAAAAAGATAAGGAAGGACACTTCATACTCATCAAAGGAAAAAGCTACCAAGGTGAACTCTCAATTCTGAACATCTATGCCCCAAATGCAAGGGCACCTACATACATAAAAGAAACTTTACTAAAGCTCAAAACACACATTACACCTCACACAATAATAGTGGGGGATTTCAACACCCCACTCTCAGCAATGGACAGATCATGGAAACAGAAACTAAACCGAGACACTTTGACATTAACAGAAGTTATGAACCGAATGGACTTAACAGACATCTATAGAACATTTCATCCTAAAACAAAAGAATATACCTTTTTCTCAGCACCTCATGGTACCTTCTCCAAAATAGACCATATAATTGGTCACAAAACAAGCCTCTACAGATACAAAAAGATTGAAATAATCCCTTGCCTCTTATCAGATCACCATGGAATAAGACTGGTCTTTAATAATGACAAAACCAATGGAAAACCCATGTGCACATGGAAACTGAACAACTCTCTACTCAATGATGACTTGGTCAAGGAAGAAATAAAGAAAGAAATTAAAGACTTTTTAGATTTCAATGAAAATGAGGACACATCATACCAAAACTTGTGGGACTCCATGAAGGCAGTGCTAAGAGGAAAACTCATAGCTCTAAGTGCCTACAAAAAGAAACTGGAAAGAGCACACACTAACAAGTTGACTGCACAACTAAAAGCCCTAGAACAAAAAGAAGCAAATACACCCAGGAGGAGTAGAAGGCAGGAAATAATCAAACTCAGGGCTGAAATCAACCAAATAGAAACTGAAAGAACAATACAAAATATCAATAAAACCAGGAGTTGGTTCTTTGAGAAAATCAACAAGATAGATAAACCGTTAGCCAGATTAACCAGAGGGCACAGAGAGAGTATCCAAATTAATAAAATCAGAACTGAAAAGGGAGACATAACAACAGAAACTGAAGAAATTCAAAAAATCATCAGATCCTACTACAAAGGTCTATACTCAACAAAACTGGAAAACCTGGATGAAATGGACAATTTCCTAGACAGATACCAGGTACCAAAATTAAACCAGGAGCAGATAAACCATCTAAATAGTCCCATAACCCCTCAGGAAATAGCAGCAGTCATTAAAAGTCTCCCCACTAAAAAAAGCCCAGGACCAGATGGTTTTAGTGCTGAATTCTATCAGACCTTCAAGGAAGACCTAATACCAATTCTCTTCAAACTATTCCACAAAATAGAGACAGAAGGAACACTACCCAATTCGTTCTATGAAGCTACAATTACACTCATTCCCAAACCCCACAAGGACCCAACAAAGAAAGAGAACTTCAGACCAATCTCCCTTATGAACATCGATGCAAAAATACTCAATAAAATTCTAGCAAACCGAATCCAAGACCACATCAAAACAATCATCCATCATGATCAAGTAGGTTTTATCCCAGGAATGCAGGGATGGTTCAATATTCGGAAATCCATCAATGTAATCCACTATATAAACAAACTTAAAGAAAAAAACCATATGATTATCTCACTAGATGCTGAGAAAGCATTTGACAAAATTCAACATCCCTTCATGATAAAAGTCTTGGAAAGATCAGGAATTCAAGGCCCCTACCTAAACATAGTAAAAGCAATTT